CATTTTGGTTTGTTCTTCCTTTCCTGTCTTTTTAATGACCTTTTGCTTTCTTCATGGATGAAGTTCTTGATGTCATCCCACAATTCCTCTGGTTTTTGGCCATTGGTGTTCAATGCATCAAATCTGTTCTTTAGATGGTCTCTAAATTCTAGAGGGATATAAACAAGGTCATATTTTGGCTCTCATGGACTTGTTTTAATTGTCTTCAGCTTCAAGTTGAACTTGCATATGAGCAGTTGATGGTCTATTCCACAATCAGCACCTGGCCTTATTTTGGCTAAAGATATTGAGCTTCTCCATCGCCTCTTGCCACAGATGTAGTCAATCTGATTCCTGTGTACTCCATCTGACAAAGTCAACATGTATAACAGCCATTTGTGTTGTTGAAAAAAAGGTACTTGCAATGAATAAGTTCTTGGTCTTGCCAAATTCTATCATGCAATCTCCAGCGTCATTTCTAACACCAAGGCCGTATTTTCCAACTACCGGTGATGTTTCTGTTTCCAGCTTTTGCATTCCAGTTACCAGTGATAATCAACACATCCTGATTGCATGTTTAGTCAATTACAGACTACGGAAGTTAATAAAAATCTTCATTTTCCTTATCTTTGGCTTTGGTGATTGGTACATAAATATGAATAACAGTAGTTGTGTTAGACTGGGTTCTCTAGAGAAACAAAACCAGTAAAGCTTATATATATAAAGAGAAAGAGAATTTATCTTAGGAAAATGACTCACATGCTTATAGAAGCTGGCAAGTCCAAAGTTCTTGGATAAAACATCAAGCTGGAGGCTTTTCCCAACTCATGTAGCTGCAGGGGCTGAGGAGCTCAAGATTAGCAGGCAGTAGACTGGCTCTTGATGCCAATGAATGCCAAATCCAAGATTTCCAGGCCAAATAGTAGATTGTTCACTCACAGACAGTTGTAGGCAGCACAAAAGAATCCCGATCCACAGAAGAGCATCTCTTTTCCCACGATGTCTCTTTTCCCATAAATATATGGGAAGCATGCCACACCCCTAGGGAAACAGTCCTTTCAACAGATTGGCTGCTCAAAACATATACATCTGGAGTTCC